ATGCGCGCACCCCGCGCGATCCTTCGTCGAACGTGGCAGTGGGGAGGAGTTCCCGGTCGAGGGGCGGAGCTGCGTCTGCGCCTCCGAAACCCTTCGTGTTGCATTCTGACTGGACCGCGTATCCGTAACTGGCCCCTCCTCTCCGGCTCTCGGGCCGGAAGCTGGACTGACGCAACTTCCGGCGCGCGTGAGGTTCGTGCGGCGCCTCCTTGGGAGTCTGGGTTCGGGAGCGGTGGGCGGCTAGCGGGCCAAGGTGTTCCCAGCGGCAGTCGGTGGGTCGCTGAGGGCCCAGGAAGGATGCGATGGGGCCGGAAAAACTTGCGGGGTAGGGCTGCTGTAGCTAGGCCAGGGAATTGAGAGCCCCAGGCCTCAGCACGGGAGCCTGCGCGGAGCCGATCAGAGGAAGGGGAGGTTGGGCGGGTCCACCTGAAGGTCCCGAAACGAGGAAACAGACCCAGGGTCGCACGCAGACGTTGCGTAAGGGCTGCAGCCGCTTCGGGCCGGGAGGACCTCCAGGCGCCCGCCCGAGCAAAAGGCCACAGCGGCGATACTGGCCCCTTCCCCTTGGTTGCCAGATCCCACTAAGCTGTGCGATGCTTCTCAGGCGCTGGGTAGCAGCCACAAAAGAATCCCCGGACCCACACAGCTCCAGACCCGCGCTGTGCAACGGGGTCGCTACCTGCCACCGCCGCTACTGAGCGCTTGCAGTTGAGCTGGCCTTACTGAGTGTAATACGGGCAAAAGAATGTACCGTATTCCCCTTGATAATATTTATTTTCACATGTTGAAATGTTTGGGGCTAAAACATTAAATACATTGGGGTTATGTACAAATACTAAAGTTAATTTCACTTGTTTGTTTTTGAGTTTTTTTAAACATGGCTCCTAGAAAATTTAAAACAACACGTGGCTCGCATCTTATTTCTGCCGCTCTGGAGGGATCAGCTCACTGCTCAACGCCTCCCATAACCTCTGCCTTCCCCCAGCTGCCCTCCCACCCCTACTCCTTCAGCGCTCCTTTCTTCGTTCGAGTTCCTCTTCGTTTGTGTTCACTTCCTTATTTGTGGAATTGCACCACCGCTGAATTTAAGACTCGTCAACTTAATAACTTGGCAGGGAACAGGGAAACACTCCCCCATTAAATGTACACGTTGGCGAATGACATCTTGATTCCAGAAATGGTGAAACACAAAAAAGGTGCTTGTGTACTTTTGAGAGTTTGCATCTGTTAATACGTTGCTCTTGAAGGCATGTTTTCTCATCTCTCCTACACGCACTCCAACTAGAATAGGAATTCCTGAAGGTCATGACCAGGTTCTCCGTGTGCCTCCCTCACTTCCAGTAGAGCAAGGGTGAGTTAGAGGTGGTTGTACCTGCTGGGACACCTGTCTTGCTTCGCTGGAGTGACTACAGGAGCTGAGACTTTCTACATAGAAAGGCTACAAACGTGCCTCAGCAGGTGCCCACTTCTGCCCCAGCTCAGTGGGGCCCTGGCCTGGATGCTTGCTCTTTGTAACTTGTAATTGCAGATAAGAGTCCGCTTTGTTCTCTGGGGACAGGGGTGTTGCCTCATGTCTGCTGCCCTAACGCCTACCGTTTCTGTAGTTACCATGACCCTCTTCCACAGACCACAATTTGGGACCTGAGACAAGGGACATTTGTACCACGTCTAGACTTCAGAGGCACTCATGAGGCCAGAGTTCAGATGCCTAAATATTGGGGCTTGAGTTTTTTTGGCTGATGGGGACAGAATGAAGGGTATTTGTGACACCATAATGCTGATTAGTTTGTGATGGTTTGGAGGTAGTGCAGCCCCAGAGCACACAGACAGTATTTACAAAGATGAGAACATGGGGACCAAGGGGAGAGCAGACCAGCAGTTGGGGACCCAAGCTGCTGGCTGTGGTTGAGCCTCACTCTGGTTGTGTCTGGGCCTCCATGGCCAGACCTGAGGGCAGTTGTCACACCCTGATGCAGACAACGACAGGGCTATGTTCGCCAGCCCAGGTGGCTACAGCCAAGTTATCATTCTGTGAAAATCCGGGCCTGAGCAGGGCTCGAGCTTGGACGGGTCACGGCATTTTGACGCCGTCGCTGTACTGATGTGCCTTCTCTCTGAGGCCCTTTGCCCACCTTGAATTGACCTTGCGCACCGACCATGCAGGAACAGCAAAGCTAGAGGGAGGCCTGGCTTGGGGTTGGCCTGAGATCCTGTCTCTCGGGTTGGTCAAAACAGGGTGAGGGAGGTGTAGGGGTGCATGCAGCCCCCCACAACACAGGCCGGGTTCACTGAACACCCCTGCAGCCTCAGCCCTAGGGGAGGGCTGGTGCTCACCCTTGTACCCCAGCCCTGAGTTGGAGTTGCCCTTGGAGGTCAGGGCCACCCGCCCTTGTGGCTGTGACACCTGGACCCACACAGCTGCTTCAGGGCATCATCCAGGAGTCTCATGCTTGGAGAAGGTGCCCATTGAGCATCGGTTGAGCTACTGATTAAATATTTTGATAAATACTATCAAAAATAGAGTCCTCAGAATAAAATAGCTCCCTTCCCACCTGCGATTGGGTTGGAGGTGTAGAGGGGTGAACAGCAGGTTCCTGGACACCTGGGAAGTGCTCACCTGGCCACTGAAGGCCAGCTCCTGACTGCAGGTCCACAGAGGGCTGTGCCATGGGCCATGCAGCGGTGGGAGAACTTGGGTATGGATGACAGCGGAACTGGGAAGCAGGCGCAGTGGTGAGCATGGCCCCGGTGGCCAGACACGGGCCCTGATTGAGGGTGGGACAGTGTTATGCATGGAGCAGATTCTTGTAAATCACAGAAGCTGGTGATTAGGTGGTCACACATCAAAGCCCTGACCTGGGGCCGGCCGAGTGGCGCGATGGTTAAGAACTGGCTTGGGATGCCAGAGGGCCCCGGTTCGGATCCCACATATGAGGGCCAGTGACACTGCCCTATACAGCTAAGATGCTGAACAACAGCTCAACCTGGAGCTGGGCCTGGGCTGCCATGAGTTGCTGGCCACGGCGTAGGCGGCGTAGGCTGCAGCCCCTGCTGCAGTGGGTTGCCATGGGCTACCGTGTGTAGCCAGCAGCCAGCGTGAGCGGCCAGCAGCCGCAGTGAGCGGCCGTCCAGAAGCCGGCGACTGATCTGCCTCATCCGGGAAGAGCGCAATGATGTTGCCAGCTTGGGCCAGTGAAGCAATGTCCTCCAAAACTAGACTGAAGAACAAAATGACAGCAACTTATCTGTTCCCATCTCCCCAATTCCCCAATAAAAAAAAAATCTTAAAAAAAAAGCCCTGACCTGGCAACTACTGGCAGCCCCCGTGGGGGAAGAAGGGTCCTTCTGGGGGCGGGTGAGGAGACAGAAGCTGGGGGATGACAGGGCAGTAGACAGGGAGGGGAGTTGAGGGGACCACAGGCTCTGGCTCACGGGTGGGGAGGCCAGGCCCAGGGGCACCCGGCTGTACAGAGGGTTTGGGGTGGGACCAGAAGGATCGGGTTAGACTTGGGACCCGAGAGACACGTCATGGAGCTCCTGCAGGTGCCACCTCATGCTACCCTTCACCGGGGAGGACACAGATCAAAGTCTGGGCTGTTGGCAGTGTGCCTGTACAACTTGGCACTCAGGGTCCGAGTTCACGTGTGTAACTACAGCTGGGGAAATCCATGAGCGAAAGCAGCAGGAGCCTGAGAGGGCCCTTGCCCAGTAAACTGAACTGCTGACAGCACAGGCTGCATGATGTTCACAAGACCTTCAGGAAGTGAACTAGGAGAGCTGGAGTGGCTGCTACAGGTCAGCTGCCGGAGAGCATGGCTTCTGCACCGGCAGGAATGAGGCTCAGAGGTGGCTACATCTAAGTTCAGTGGGCAAGGCCTGGCACCTTGGAGCCTGGAGCTGTGCCATCTCACTTTCCTCCCCTGCCCTCCCTTCACTCTCGAGGTGGGGCAGCCGATTCTGGGAGCGGCCGGATAAGGTCTCTGCGCCAGTGCAACGGGGACTGGGAGCCCAGGCTGCTTCCCAGGCCCTCTTGGATCTGGGTCTGGGCCATTGTCCTGTTATCCAACACAGGGCCCAGCCTCCAGGATCCCCCCGAGGTCCCGGTAGGGAGGATTGAGGGGGTGACCAGCCCTGTGGGAGCTGTCTTGACACGGGCAAATGGTCACTGACCTGGGGTCAAGAGGGCATCTCCTGGTCCGCCCCAGCTGGCAGGGCACACCCTGTGGATAAGCACTGGGCACAGTAGCAGGCCTCCACTGATAGTCCAGGGAGGGTTCTTGCCCCCAATGCCTAAATGACACATAGCCACTTTAAGGGGCTCAGACCACAGAGGACAGGTTTCAAAACCCGTCAGTCCAGAAAAAGGGGTTTCTGGAACAGACTTTCTGGAGGTTGGACTGCAGGGCTGGGGAGGGGGCGTATTTACTGGGTGCTTTGGGGGTGGTGCCGAGAGGAAGCAGTGCTCTCACCCTATCGTCCTCTACAGTCAAGTGCACCTGGTCCCTGGCTGCCCTTGAGGGCTCCTCTGGACTCGCACACCTCCCCTCTGCCCCACCTTGCTGGTTCCACCTTTGGACCACTGGCCCTGCTGGATACTGGGGCTTGGCCTGCCTTCCACACTACCCTCTCCATTGGCCCAGCCTCAGGCTCACCCAGCACCCCATGGACCCACAGCCTGGGGTCGTCGTCCCTTTGGTTCCCACGTAATGCCTCTGGCGAAGCTCAAGGTTCCCCGTCTTTGGAGTTGGGGCGTTTCCTTGAGGCTGGACAGTGGCCACATGGGGACAGAGCAGGCAGACACCAGGGGGCGCACTGCAGACAGATGGACACCAATGGGAGGCCCTTTGGGAAGTCCCAGGTCTGCACAGGGCAGCACTGGCCACACAGGCTGGGCGAGGGTTTTAAATCCATTCAGCAGTTGCAGGACTATGGACCCTGGGGGCAGCCAAGGAATGGACCCTGCCCGCCTCCCCCACTGAGATAAGCAGCAGACGCCCCAGCTCCTTCAGGGAAGTTTATTTCCTGGTCAGAAAAGGAGAAGCAGGGACAGGTTCCTGTGTGGTCCAGCCCGGGCCTGACCAGGGAGGGGAAGGGAGGGGAGGGGAGGCACAGGGGACGGCTCCGACTGTGCACGCTTGGTCCCACGGTTGTCCTGGCTGGGTCCAGGGAGGGCCTGCCGGGGATGGTGGCACCAAGCCTGAGGGCAGAGGCAGCAGGCCAGCGGGCCCAGAGGACGGCACATGTGGAGGCAATAAATACTGACAGGCCAGGTATGCCACTCCAGGCTGGCAGGCCCAGGTGGGACGGAGTAAGGCTCGGCCACTGGCTTTGTCTGCCGAGGGCTCTCTGTTGGGGCCGTGGGCTCTGGGTTTGGGTGCTGCCAGCTGGGACAGACAAGGCAGAGGCGTGAGGACTCCCAGCCTCCCAGATGGGACTGGAGGGGACTTGAGTTTTGGCAATTTGGCTTTCCCCAAGCCCCTGGAGCTGTCCCCACAGCCCTGGCTGGGGAAGGGGGGAGGAGGCTGGCCAGGCCCCAGCAGGCCGGGGAGCAGCAGCAGCGTCCCACTGCCCTGGGCCCCGGGGACTGCGGGTGGGGCGGGGACTGGGGAGACCACATGCTCATGCAGACACAGGGTCAGAGGTTAGTGACGGCCCCAGAACACACGTTCCGCATGTTAAGGCATCATGGTTAGACAGTGACAGCGACGGATGAACTGATCAGGGAGAAGTGACAGCTGGAGGATGACCTGCTCCTAAGCCCTGCATCGTGCACCCCACCCCCACCCCAAAGGGGGAGATGAGGAGAGTCACGGCAACTGAAAAGGCCCTGGGGTACCTGAGCACCCCATGACACCCCATTCAATGCCCCACTCCCTTGGAAAAGCCAGAGCTTCAGGTCAGCTTGGAGCAGGGGGAACCTGGAAGGACCAAGGGGGAGGCAGAGGCCTGGGCTGCAGCCTCCCTCCCCCACAGCACAGGCTGAAGCAGCAACAACACTAGATCACCAGGAGGCTGGGGCCTGCAGGCTGGGGAGGGCTGGGCTGGCCAGGAGGCAAAACCAGGGGAAAGATGGCAGCGTGGGCAGGGGCCCTGTCAGCACTTTGGTATGGGGTTGGGTGGGGGGGTCGGGTGGGGGTGGGGCGCGTACATCCCTCCGTCCATCGCCCTGCCCGCCTCCCAGGCTGGGCTCAGTCCTTCCACTCCTTTTTGATGGTGAGGTTCCACTCCCAGGACAGGTGGTCAGTTTTGTCGTCGTCTGTGAAGCGGGACTTGATGTTGTAGCTGCCACGAGCCAGCATGCCTTTGGGCGCCTCCTCCATGGGAGTCAGGAACTCGTACTCCTCCGCCCGGGGCCCGTAGCTGCCCACCATGTAGTCGGTCTTGTCAACTGCAGAGCAGGGGAGGCGGCAGTCAGGGAGCAGAGCTGCTAAGGGCCCACACTGCCTTTCCTCTCTCCCTCCAGATCCTGGACCCCTGGGCGGCCACCTCCCTCGTGGGGGCGGGGCCTGGCACCCATCCTCACTCACTCTTGACGCCTTTCCGGTATGTGTGCTGGATATACTTCATGCCAGACACAATCTCTCGGTTCACCTGCAGGGAGGGACCCCGAGCAGAGCTCAGCTTCAGCCAGGCTCTCCAGCCCCGGCCCCTCCCAGTGCCTCCCGGGGCCCCACTCCTTACCCGGAAGGAGATCTTTATCCGGTACTCCACACCCTCTTTCAGCACAAATGACTGCTTCTTGAAGCTCTCCAGATCGCCTGTGTTCAGAAGGACATTGAACTAAGAGGCTCAGCCAGGGGAAGCCACGCACCTGGGCAACCCCATCTGTGACTGCCCCCCCACCCCCCGCCCCCCAGGTCCCTCCACAGCCAGAGCCTTGACCTCTTGGCTGCCCTTCCTGTGCTCCCCACGAGAGGGCGCTGGCTCTCCAGAAAACTATTTTTACGGGACACAGGGTGTCAAACACAGCCTCAGCCAGGGGCCTCAGAGGTGCCCACACTCACCTGTCAGGTCCAGCTCCAAGGGGCCTGGGGCAGTGCTGCACACCAGGGTCAGGCGGGTCACAACCACGTTGGGGACATTGGGGTCTGTGGAGTGACAGCAGGTTACAGGTGCACCCCTTGGCGTCTCCCCTCAAGCACACAACTTGCTGCCTGGGGTGGGGAGCAGCACCGGGAGCTCAGAGGAGTCCCGGTGTCCCGTCCGGGCGGCCCGCCCACTCACCAGCCGAGACGGCCACACGGCCCAGCAGGGCCTCCTTGTACTTGCGCAGGCTCTCGTCGTCCTTGTCCAGCTCCTGGATCTCCTGGATGCTCTTCTGGGCCGGGGGCTTGTAGTTGACCGAGTGCTCGTCTTCCTCGTTCTCGGCCGCAATCTGCGCCAGCTGCTCGGCTGTGGGCTCCTGCTCCGCCATACTCACCTCTAGCTGGGTCCGGGACACCTGCGAGCGGGGCAGGTTGTGGCAGACTGGAGGGGCCCAGGATCTCTCCCTCCTGCTCCTTAGCAGCAGGGGGACTGTGGTGAAGGGGTCTTTGCAGGTAGCCAGACCCTATAGCTGCACCCAAGGGGAGGTGCACCTTCTGGAATGGGAGAGCAGCTGCAGCCAGACCTTTGCAAAGGGCCTAGACACAGGTTCCTGAGGCCCAGACGGCCCACACTAACGTGCCCTGCCCATCTCAGGAGACTAGGCACCCCCAGAAAGTGGCAGCAACCCCAGACTAGACTGGCAGGACCCCAACTGAATCACCTGAAGTTCTGCTGGTCTTTCTGAGGTGCCCAGGTCCTCACCCTGAGGTACCCCTCCTGCTGGGTCAGGGAGCTGCTCTGACCAGGGGTGCCCCTTGGCACTGTCCTGGCCAGAAAGCAAGACCTCCATGCACGACACAGGTCAGTTCTGCCTCACCATGCAAACACAGGGCTCTCCTAGAGCTCAGATAACGGGCCCAGCCTGAATCCCACAGGTAGGTCCCAAAAGCACACGGGGAACTCTTAAGTGTTTGCCCACATTCTCGCCCGCTGTGAGAATTTGTGATACAGAATTGAGATCTGCTGCAGCTCCTGGTCATTCTCAGGATCCTCTTTCTGGACCCTGGTCTAGGAGAGCCTGGAGCAGCACTGTTTGAACAGAAGTAGAGCCGTGCAGAAGGCTCAAGATCCCCACTGCACCCCCTAGAATACCCTGGGTGTATCTGAAACCCACGCAGACCCGTCCCGTTGTGTGGGAGGTGGAAAAGGCCCAGCTGACCCCAGACCTCAAGTTGCCACGGGAAGGTAAACAGCGTCTTCCCCCAGGCCCAGCCTGGCAGCCGGGATCTGCCCGAGTACCAGATCCCACAAAGAGCCGCTTGGGCACTCCGAGCGGGGTGGGGCCGCCAGCTCTTCCAGGCCTCCCAGGCGCTTCCCCTGGAATTCCTCTAGAAAGCTCACGCCCTAACGCCAGCAAGTGCGGACGCAGGCGACAGGATCCTCCAAGCGCGATGCCGCCGCCTGCACTTCCGCAGGGCCCCGCAATCTGGCCAGGCGTGGGTGCGGCGGGGCGGGGTGGGGTGGGGAGCTCGGGGACGCACAGGGGCCGGGCGCGCCTTCCCCAGGGGAGGGGCGTCAGGCCTGGTGCACACTGGCGCGCACCACCGAGGAAGAGGCGCCGCCGGGCACGAACGGCGGCCACAAAGGAGGCCTGCACCGGCCCAAGACCCGGGCCCGCGCCCCCCGCCCGCACGTGGACGCTCCTGCGACCGGGGACCCGCCCTGCGCCCCGGCCACCGCCCGCTGTCACCGCTGCCCCCGCCCCGCGCAGATCCCCCCAGCGGGAGGGGCGGACAAAGGCTCGGCCCCCGCCCCCTCCCACCCAGCGCGCCTCCGCCGCCTCCGCCGCCGCCCCTGGCGCTCACCGGAGGCTCGACCGCGCCGCGCTCACGCTCCCTCCCGCACGAAATGACGAACGTCGGCGCCCCGCCCGCGCGCGCCCTGCCGGCCACTTCCGGGGTCACGCGATTTCCGCTCAAGGCGGGCGGGCGGGCGGATGGCGCATGCGCGGGCGCGGGGTCTGCCGGGAGCGCGCGGCCGCCATCTTGCAGGGTTGACCTCATGGGCACGTTCCCCGTGGGCGGCTCTCGAGGCAGGTTCGCTTGCGAAGGCTGGTTTGGTTGATGCTTCTACGCCCTTTGCTGCGGGCGTTTTTCAGCCCCAGGCGTTCCCACGGCTCAGCCCGCGAACTCAGACCGGGACGGGGCAGTGTCACCGTTTTGCGTGCGCCCCACCTGGACGTCATGCGTTTCTGCCGCCGTCTGTAACGCGCAGGGGCTTTTCCCTCTGCAAGCGCGCAGCCCACATCGGGGCCCAGCGAGCCTTGCTCTCGCAGCCAGCGCTGGCCTGGTCTCAGCCCTGTGGCCACATGTCCTGCCCCGTACACCGGAGGCCAGCACAGGTCAGCGGCGGCTGCTCTTGCAAGTGAGCCTTCCCATCGGCCCTCTTGCCATTGCTTCACCCTCCTGGAAGTTAACACTGGATGTTCCATTGAGTTCACACTAACCACGCAGGACGCTCTGTGGATTACCCCTGTCCTGTCCAAGCCCCCCGGGGGTGGGGATCTCCTGGTATCTTTTGTGCACCCAGCACACACAGGAGGTTTTGGCTAGAAATAAATGGTGAAGATTGATTCACCTGGCCAAGGGTTTGCAAACCGGAAACAACCTGGCAATACCCAGAGTGTTCAGAAGAAGAAAAAAGAAAAGCTAAGAGTTCTTATAAGAAAAAGCAGACTATTGTGAAGAATCGGTCCAGCATTCTAGCTGCTGGGTTGGCCTGAGATGATGTCAGTCAGGTGGTCTGGACCGGTGAACGTTTTTTTTCCAAGTCCTTCAGAAGGCTAACTGTAGGATTTATATGTATTTCCAGGCATCCATGCACAACTGGAAAGTTCAAAAGCTTAAGTCCTCAGGCTGGTTAAATAAAACCCACTCCTCACGCTCAGCTCATTTGGACTGAACCCATTTTGTCAGCTTGACTATAGAAACTCCATTTTGAGTCAGCATAGCTACCCTGACTTCACCTTTTTTTCACCTATTCCTCACTTTGCAGCCTGCCCAAGGTTGTGCACGTGACCCGCTGCCCTGCTGTCTCCTGCGATGAACCAGGCTCAATGTCCAGGGCACAGGGCACACTCAGGCACAGCACTGCTCTCCTGGAGAGGGGTCTGGCCACTGTCCTGTGACGGAATGTTCTCCTCCATACTGAATTAGTATTTTTGGGCCCAGCACACCTGGCTACCTGTGAGCACCACTTCAGGGGACCTGGTCACTGAGGAACTCGTTGCCCCTCATGACTTTGGAAGCTGCTGGCACAGATCACACTGTTACTTCAGTCTGCTCTTTACTGCAAACCCCGGTGTCTCCATGTGTGTGCTCTAGTTGTGTAGATTTCAGACCTCTGCCCTCACACCAAACATTCTTTAGCTCCAGGAGGGTCCTTATAAAATGTGGCCTGAAAAAAATTTTTAAAATGTGGCCTGTTTGGGGGCCAGCCGAGTGGCTCAGTTGGTTAAGAGTTGGCTTAAGAGCACCAGCTCTGAGCAATAGGGCTGCTGGCTCGATTCCCGCATGGGCCGGTGACGCTGCGTCCGAGCTGAGCTACTGCTGAGCTGCCAACAGGTGGCAGATTGGCTCAGCTGGCGAGAGCACGTGCTCCTAACAACAAGATTGCCTGTTCGATGGTGGGTTACGCCCGCCCGCAACTAAGACTGAACACGGCACCTTGAGCTGAGCGGCCACGAACTGCCTACTGGCGGCTGCCGGCTGGACTCGGAGCTGAGCTAGCTGTGCCCTTCACAACTAGGATTGAAGAACAACAACTTGGCTGGTCCCCTCCCCCAATTCCCCAATTAAAAAAAAAAATGTGGCCTGTTTGGCAGAGCCCGCAGTGCCCAAAACCATGCCCGGCACTCCTCCCTGTGGGGTCTGAACCCCTAAATGCCCCACCTGGGGGGTGCGCCTCCCCACCTTCACCCCGGCACTTGTAAAATTGTAATCACGTGACAGTGGACTCATGCCACTTTTAATGATGGTTAAACTCCACAGAGGAAGGACCCTTCTGTCTGGTCTACACTGCCTGACAGGGAACCCAGGCTGACAAAAGTCATCACACACACACACACTCTTGCACTGTGCACGGCAGGCATTTGGGGCAACAGAACAATGCAAAATACTAACCTCAGTATGTTTTGGAAATATCTATCTCCCTTTTTGAGGTGCATTTGCAACTTTTCTGTAACTAAGAATTGCACTGTCAACTTTAAGTGCAGAAAGTTTGGCCAAAAGCAGAGCATCCTAATCGGTGTTCAGTGTGTTGCTTCTGAGGCACCTTACAGAGGACTGTCCCACTGCACTGTCACTTGAGTCACGGCTCGAGGACAAGTCTGCTTTCATTTGACCCAAGTACCTTTAACAAACAAACAAAAACCCTGGGCCAGCTGAGTGGTGCAGTAAACCAACAAGAGTTGGCTTCGGAGCATCAGCTCTGAGCAGCAGGGCTGCCGGTTTGGTTCCCACATGGGCCAGTGACACTGCGCCTTCTACAGCTAAGATGGTGAACAACAGCTCGACCTGGAGCTGGGCTGTCGTGAGTGGCCAGCGATGGTGTAGGCTGCAGTGAGGCTGCAGTGGACTGCCGTGAGCTATGGTGAGTGGCTGGCAGCCAGCGTGAGCGGCTGGCAGCCAGTGAGAGCTGCCGTGAGCCGCTGTGAGCAGCCATCCAATGGCCAGCAACTGACGGCCTCACCCGGGAAGAGCGCAATGATGGTGCCAACTTGGGCCAGTGAAACGACATCCTCCACAACGAGACTGAAGAACCAAAGGACAGCAACTTGTCTGTTCCCCTTCCCAGATTCCCCAACACTGTTCTCCTCCCCCCAATTCCCCAATAAAATCTTAAAAAACCAAACAAACAAAAAACCCAAACTTTATTATAGAAAATTCCAAACATAGGGTATTAATAGTCTCTTGTTGTATAAAAATGTACTCTGGAATTTAGCAGCTCGGAACAACCAACATTTATTATTTCCCATGGTTTCTGAGGATCGGGAAGCAGCTTAGTGGCATGGTTCATGGTTCTGGCTCTGGGTCTCTCATGAGGCTGTGGTCAAACTGTTGACCAGGGCTATGGTCTCCGTTCTGCTGGAATTCCAAGTTCATGCACGCGCTTGGGGCATCAGTTCCTCGCTGGCTGATGGCCTGAGGGTTTAGTTCCCTGCCACTATAACTCCTGGTTTCTCCACAGAGCTGATCACACAGGGCAGGTGGCTTCCTCCAAGTGAGGCCTCAGAGACAGACAGATGGGCAGGCAGAGACAGACAGAACAGAGAAGGGGAACAGCAAGCACTCAGATGAAGCCACAGTGTCTCTTACAACGTAATCTCAGAAGTGTCACGCCATCACTCTGCCCTACTGTACCAGCCACACAGATCTATCCTGGTCCAGTGGAGGACGGGACTGCAGGGTGTGAGGTGGACCAGGAGGTGGCCCACCCGCACACCAAAGTAGAAAGCATGGTGTCACAAACCCTCATGGACCTTCCACGTGGCTTCAGTGGCTTTCCACTGGTAGCCAGTCCCATGTCACCTGTCCCTCCTCCACACACACAGTAAACTTGAAGCAAATCTCACATGTCCTTTCCACAATACGGATTTCAGCATGTGTTTATTTCTAAGGAAAAGGATCCTTTTTTCGGGTAAACGAGCCACACCCGTCCAGGTATCCTCCACTATGTGACTAACACTCCACATGCAGGGGCTCAGAGCAGGGTCCCTGCTCTCTCTTGTTCTATGGGCCCAGTAAGCTCAGCCAGGCCTGTCCACCGAGGACCGCCCACAGGACTGCCCCTACTTCAGAAGCCAGCCACAAGTTGGGTGCCCAGGCTACCCACATTTTTGCCAGCAGATTATAAATTTGAGGGTCTCCACGATCCCTCAGGTTCAAAAATGCGCTAGAAGAACTCACAGAACGCAGAAAAGCTCTTTACCTATGATCACTGATTTATTATAAAGGACACAACTCAGGACCAGCCAGATGCAAGAAATGCACAGGGTAGGGGTGTGTGTGTGTGGGGGGGGGTTGTCTCCGGAGCCCTCCACCCTCCCGGCACCTACCACTCTTCACCACCTGGAACCTCTTCAAACCCCGTTGTTTAGGGCAGGGGTTCTCAACCTGTGGGTCGCGACCCCTTTGGGGGTCGAATGCCCCTTTCACAGGGGTCGCCGGGTACTCATATGTGGGCGTATCTGCATGTGGGCCTGGAGACGGCTAGAGGAGCAGTGTCTCGGTTCCTAAGACCATCGAAAATATGTGTTTTCCGATGGTCTTAGGAGACCCCTGTGGAAGGTTGAGAACCTCTGGTTTAGGGGCTTTTATGGAGGCTTCATTAAAAGGTAAGACTGATGAAATCATTGGTGATTAACTCAACCTCCTGCCCTCTCCCCTCCCAGAGGTCAGGGGACCGGGCTGAGAGTGCCAACCCTTTAATGATGCCTAGTCTTCCTGGTGACCAGCAGCCATCCTGACACACCACCCAGGGGCCCACCCCGAGTCATCATCTCATTACCGTAAACTACAGTGTGGTTGAAAGGGACTGGTTACCAATAACAAAAGCCAATCCTGTCAGGACATTCTGAGAGCTGGGGCTGTGGGCTAGGAAGGGGGACAAAGGCCCAATCTACCTTGATTGTGCCATAGTCAGTTTTCTGTGCTTGAGCCCTTAGGTGCGGAGGAAACCGGGACACCTGTGGTTGAGACT